AGAGCTTATTGGAAAGCCTCCATAGGAAACCGAGCCTAGGACAACCATGTAAAATGTGCAACCAGGCCCACGAGCTAGGTTCTCGTGATCGCGCCCCCCCTCGCGAGATTGCAACGCTACTATCACATTCTGATGAGGACTTGGACACAAGAGGCACGAGTCGGACCAATCAAACACCACGCGTGAATTTAGACAGACGCAGGTACGGTTCTGCGATGCAGATCCCAGCGACGACCCACGGGACAGTAGATCAAGGAGGTTCTATTTATGGCCCGGAGAAGAAATGAAGGATTTGCAAAGGTCCAGACACGATCCACAAGCCCAAGCCTGATGGCCGTCAGTGTCCGATGGAACACAGCTTTGTTGCTTGGGAGGTACGGTCGAGGTACGGTCCAGGCAGGTGAGGTATTTGGAATATCACGCAGAATTCTGGCAATAGAATGGTAGGCTAAATCCCGATCCGTGGTTATGCTTTCCTGGTTCCTGTCACAGGAGAGTAATTCTCCTGTCAAGTGGCAAGCTGCTTGTCTATCTGGTCTGTAGAACGTTCTAGAAGCTATGTCTTCTGTCCTGCGTAAAGCTTCCCCGTAGAGATTGTACTCTCTTTGAATCCGACACAACCCCATCATCAGCCGCATTCAATGGCCAGTCCGATATGTCTAGCAGAGAGCTTGTAGAAACTATGCCAATCATGAACAGAATGAGCTTATGTAAAAATATCTCCGGTTTTTGCACTAAAACCGAGGAACCGATTGGCTCCCGAAGATGGTTGAGGTTGTGGGCCGGCCCTCCTGCGGCCCCTAAACTTTATCTCAATCACCCTCCGCATCTTGATTACGACTGTAGCGAGCGAGAACCTTTCTAGTAAACTGCTGGTCTGTTCCAAAAGCCCTACATGAGCAGGTCGAGACTGTCGTAATTCTGCCCCGATTCTCTGGGCTTCTCTTTTGGGCTGTAGGGCTTAATCACTAGCAACCTAGAAGCAAGTGGGGCAGAAGCCCGGGCCTGAATCTTTATGACGACCACATTCTCTCACCGAGCAGGCGATTCCATGGGTCGTCCAAACTAAGCGGTCGAATGATTTGTGGTTCCGCTAATGATCGACAGCTGCGCTCGTGATTCCACGGTCTGTCAAACTAATTTCCTCCTGACTTGGGTGTAGGTCAAAACAAATCGTACGCTTCACACCAAAGATTACCCTGCTTTCGACCATCGATCCTATCAAATCCAAGCAGACGTATTACCATGAGCCAACAAGAATGCCGTATTTCCATTCGACCAGAGCCCCCTTGCTACCATGTCCTGTCTCCCTACGGGAACACTCATAGTATCGTAAATCCTTATACGCTGTCCGCAGTACTTACCGGGCCACATAACCACTCCAATGAAATCCTCCTGGTTTTGCATAACAAGGATGAAAATGTGTAGGCGGGCCTGTTCCAAGGGCACCACCATCGTGCTCGAGTCCTTTGACTTTGGGACATCCTCTATATTATTGTCATTCCAAAGAAAGGCGATTGCTACTTCCTCTACGGAATACATGGAACGATATACAACTACGCTTGTATTCCTCATGCTGAGGCTTCATTGCTGATCACCGCCTTTGATGTAGGAACATGCACCAGGACTTGTTTTTCAAGATAGTTGGCCACTGTTCCTTGGACATCGCAATGTAGCTATCCAGCCGATGAATGCTGCTAAAGTGGACGCTCTATTCGCCGGTATCTCAGCTTCTTGGCAGCACAGACACGATGCACATAGTCCCACCTCCAGGATGACGATCGTGTACTTTTAGGCCGGCACGGAAGCGGTGCTGGCGTCACGTGGTCTGTGACAAAGGGTCAGCATGTAATATGAGAAGATTAAGTGTTTCGTACCTGAAATAGGGTTCGTTTGAGTTGGGTTTTTGCTGCCGTCAGGCAGGTTAGGATCGGCCGCTAGAATTGTTTGAAACCATTTGTCGATGTTCCTTTGGGCAGGGGTCTTGGCTGAAAGATTCGACTGTGAAGCGCTATCGACCACGGAGCGTCGTACGACGCCTGCTCGCTTTGGTTTGCCTGGATTCTGGGAAGATTTGGCGCCAGTGCGCCTCTGCTTCCGCAGAATATGGTACTTTTTCCCTTGTAAAGATTCAACGCTTCGATCCACCCAATATTGGTCATAATATGTGTCGGAGCGGGCTTTCCACAGGCAGCGCTCGATGAGCATCCAGCCAGGGCACCAGATCTTCTCCTCCCATTCTGGCCAGCCCGATGGGTTACGTGGGGACATGGTGATGCTAAAGCAAGTGGAAGAAGCGGTAAGGAACTGGTCAAATGGACAGCAGTAAGTGGATTCGCAGGTCTAGGTTTGTTGAGTTTAGAAGACCCTTTCAATATCCAGTCAACTGAAAAAGATCCTACCGTTGCATCAAGAAATAACCATATGTTTATGACGCATTGCTCAGTCCGTTGAGCTGGCCTCAGACTCCCGCCAATCGCCTAAGTCAAATGTTTGAAGATCAACAAGGCCCCCATTTGTTGATGCACTTTTGGAAAGGTGGCTATGCACAGTCAACGACTTTGAATTGAACACAGCAATAGGAGCACCTTTTTGTTGGCAATTCCACATGATTTCACCACTGCGTCGAAACATGTTCATTAGGACCGGCTCTTTGTTTTCTTTGTTTAAAAGGAGTTAGCATTCCTGTTCATCTTCTAGACCCGTTCATACCTTCATATTATAAAAGATGAGCCATGTGTCAACGTAGTTCAACATACGATGTGCAAAGTCATTGGCGAGATATGATGGCCATGACGGTGAAAATTTTAGATTTAAACTCATTTCGTGAGTCGTTTTCTCGGCTATATCCAGAATAGTGCTTCATCGGCGGGAAGTAAGGAAGGAAAATAGTAGAGCTTGCCACCCCCCCGGGTTCCCATTGCAAGCAAAGCATTTCGGTTCTGATCCCATTTTACAACCTGCTATAAAACCGTATTGTGATCACGATACGTCACTGCACACTCTTGATATGGGAAGCCGAATTTTGGGGTCTCCTGATGGGCGAGATCGATCAGCTGATAGTATCTGTGAACGGTACGTCACGTCTGCATACAGAGGATGGACTAGACAAGATATCATGTTGTGTCCTTGTGGCACACAACTATGGGAATGCCTTAGCTTGTAGTTCATCTCCAGAGCCAATCTGTGGCCGTTCCATTTCCATACTTGGTCAGAGGAGGTACCAGATGGGATATTGAGCTTCAGCGCCTCGGGATGAAAGAATTCAGACTGATCCAGACAGATAGGGCAGAAGGGAAGGTTTAAATGATGACCCGAAGACCGATGGTGGAAGAGTCACTGCTGTAGTTGATATTTAATCCTAAGAAGGAAAAAGGGGGGCGGAGAGGAGAAAGGGGCAACAAGCGTTAAGTTCTCCGTACGTACATTGCAAGTAAAATATATTTACATAAATACTAACGTATTTCGAGGAGTGGTTGGAAGTAGTGAAACGGATTTGGATCGATCCTATTGCTGTAAAATCACATAGGTATGTTTAGTTTACAAAAACAAAAACAAAAAAGTAAAAATACAACTGATGTTTTATTGAACCTTTGGTTCTCATCTGTAGGGAACTAAAAAAAAGGGAAGGGAAATGGAGATGCCACTGACGTAGTGGCGTACCTAAATCCGGCCCAAGAGAGCCGTAGAATCTACCCTGGATTTGGCTTGGCTATGAGGGTGGCAATATTTGTCTTGAGTAGCTTAATGCCGGCAGAAACTTTGACAATCACTCGCGCTTTGTGCTCTCTGTTGTTGAAGAACATCGACTATCGCTACCGACCGAGAAGGGTCTCTAACATTAGTACCACGCACATCCCTCCAGGGCCTGATTGAATCCATCAACGTTCACGGACTCTCTGAATGTTTCAATTCGAAGCCGGGCTTTTGTTGGGGGATGTTCTAGTCGATGGGCTAGTATTTCTTGCGAAGGGTCTGTCAGATAGGACTGATAGTCCAGGCCACTAAGAAAGTAATGCTCCATACACACAGAGCTTGGAGTAGAGAGGTAGCTTGTCTGAGAATCATTGCCGTACTCGAAATCTGAAGGGAATACAGACGTGGAAGTTGGAGCACACCGAGGGCTAGTGAAGGACATCTGGTGAGGAGACCGTGTTGTTTCGCTATCAGGCGCCCCAGAATCGAGTGGCACAATGTGTGCAACCTCTCGGATTGGCCCG